GCCCCCTCATCCGCAGCGAACGGGACTGCAGCGTTCATATTGGAGGACAATAAGGGGCGTTTCCGTGAAGTACGTAGTCGCCAGCGGAGCGAAGGCTGTTCGTTCTCGGGCCCATTCTCCCTCTCCTTGCACTCAAATCTCTGTCGCCTGGACGCTCGCAGCCGTCACCCCGCTCACTACTTCACGTTCGGGATCGCCCCTTTTTGCTCTGTAGGTACACGTCTGAGCCGAGGCCGTACTTCTAGCCCACAACTCACCACCCTTGGTGAGTCAGATCGCATGAGTCGTGAGGGCAATGTTATCCGCTCAAGCAACAGAAAGCTGCTCGAAAACACGACACGGGAAATCAGGAATCCACGTTCAGGAACGACGGACTTCGAAGTTCATGGCCAGCAACTTCGACAGAGGACAGACACCAACGAGGAGGATTCCACTGAGACCAACGCCACTGGAAAGCGATCAGCAGAGGGATTGTTTTTTTCTCTTTCCCATCGATTCAGCTGCTCGCGTTCTCATCAAGAAGCAGCGTTTTCTCGGTCACATTGAGCGATGGAATTTCCTGTTCCCAAAAAGATAATTCCGCGTATTGCATTTTATGTGGACCATCCAGTTCACCTTCAAATAAGTGAAGCCGTATATAAGTGTCCAGGTTCGACTCTCGATGAATCTTGGCATACTTTGAATTCCTATAGGGTATTGCTTTAGCCGTAACCAAGATGGTATAAAAGTTTTATTGGCTAACGTTTCGGCGCCTTATCGCCTTCGTCAGAGCCTGGAAAAAGTCAAAAATCAAAGTGAAACTACCCTCGGAAATCATTTCAAACCTCAGATAAGCTAGTCCCAGACCAGTAGGATCCAGAAAGTCATAGAACACACCACAAACGACTCACCTTTAATGCACGACCGGTTCTTGTTTGAGACCACCGCTAAATAGACTCCCCGTCGGTGGCTTCAGCTGACCTGACCGCTCTACTTGATGCCGATGGCAACTGAAGCCCACACAGGTCAGCAAACGGGGCGAGCTCGTTTGTGATGGTCAGGCATTCGTCCTTTCTATTCTATTTTTCTAATAGGAAGGACGAATGCCTGACCATCACAAACGAGCTCGCCCCGTTTGCTGACCTGTGTGGGCTTCAGTTGCCATCGGCATCAAGTAGAGCGGTCGGTCAGGTCAGCTGAAGCCACCGACGGGGAGTCTATTTAGCGGTGGTCTCAAACAAGAACCGGTCGTGCTCGTTTGTGGTTGTGTTCTATGACTTTCTGGATCCTACTGGTCTGGGACTAGCTTATCTGAGGTTTGAAATGATTTCCGAGGGTAGTTTCACTTTGATTTTTGACTTTTTCCAGGCTCTGACGAAGGCGATAAGGCGCCGAAACGTTAGCCAATAAAACTTTTATACCATCTTGGTTACGGCTAAAGCAATACCCTATAAGAATGAAGCCGTATACTCAAAAATAGCCTCTACAGAGAAGCTAAAAAACTTTGACATGAGTAGACAGTAAGACTTCTATACAACAATGAGAACTAGAAGAAGTGCAATCCATTATGCGTAGTACTCGAAGAAAGAAAAGAAAAGGACAAAAAGAAAGAGATACTGAAAATAGATAAAGAGTTTTCGTGTACTCCCCGAGGTTGCCTCCCACGCTAGGATTCCCTACCGCCTCAATACAAGAGGGAGTACGAAAAATCTCTAAAAAGAAGGTTGAGTTAATTGGAAATCGCTCCGATAAGAGAACTGTTCCCAGCTAACCTAATTGATCTCCAGGAGATAACGCAAAAACCTACTGTAGCAAAAAGTCCTGTAATCGTAACCCTCGCCGCTGATCGAAGTTCAGACTTGTTCCCTGCGAGAGCGTGTCAGGGAGGGGGCTTGGTTAGACGCTGTGCTAGCTCGTTCTACAGCAATTTTTGGAAAGGGCAAGCGACAACAATTGGTGGGAAACGGGCCGGCGCCGCGAAAAAGCCCCCCCCCCGACACGCTCAAAGAGCAAGACTGTACGCTTTTGACCATGTACTTTTGACCATGTCTGACCACGACTCTTGTAAAATAAACTTAGGCGCACGCCAAGCACCTCCCCCCCCCCATTCGACTCTTGTAAAATAACTTAGCGCACACCAAGAACCCCCCCCCCTCCCCATTCTGCGCCGCTGATATCGATGGTTTCACGACAATGGTAAAGCATAAAGTTTCCTGCATCAATCAGTTTCCTTCTTATATTCCACCCAAATGGCATTTCGGATGTTTTTGGGCTATACCACCAATTAAAGGGGCCAGCGGACGAGCGAGAAAACAGCTGACTATTTTCCGAAAGTTTATGCAGCAAGGAGTTCCAAAGCTGCACTTCATACTCCGTTCACCTAGCACCTAACCCACTTCCAGCTGCAATGAATTGGTGCCACCATTTTTCCGCGGTCCATAGGTGAGGTCGAAAGTTTACTCAGCAATGGTAGAGAGGGCGGGAACTGCGCGCTTAGGGTGGAGGACCTGCTACGAGGTAGGTGACAAACCTGATTCGCAGCGCTGGTGGGCGTCGCGTGCGACGTCGCGCTCGCAAATAACGAACTTTTACGTCATAGATGGCGACGATAATGTACAAGTGAAATTGGCCATGTCTACACTATCGTAGTCTGCATTAAATCCGATGCTCCAGTCGAGAGGCTAACTGACGCCGCGCGCCGCGATTAGCGCAATTAGCCGCAGCGTCGCGCTCATCGCCGTGCGCGACGCAGCGGCAAATTGCGGTTGTCTTGACCGCCTCCTCCCTAGCCTTGTCACTTCACGCCTTGAACAGCCATTCATTCACCTGACGGAAGTGTCACCCCTTTATCAGGTGTGGACATGCGCACTCTAAGCGGGGGAGGATGTCTGCCTGTCCGATAATCGTACACTGTGCCTTTAATTACGTAAAATGTCTCATTATCTTTTTGTTCGGCCTGATATATAGCGCAAGTGCACTGATCTCAGCAATCGAAAGAGGTCTGAAGCAATTAGGCTGAGGCTTGAAAGGAATTAAATCTGAAATAGCTTTCCTAATCATTTAATTGCTATGCTTCATAGTGCAGAATGGATACTGTAAGCTTTTTGAAAGCACATTCTGCGTTCATTTGCGGTGAAGACACAATCCTTGGACAAGATAGTCCTGTATGCAAACATGTACCAATTTCGTGTCTCAGGAATGCAAAGGAACGGCGCGACCCGTCCACATCGGAGGCAATGGCCTGCCCACCGCCCAACGCAACACCCAAATTTTATTTCAACCCACTGCGTACCGACGGGTTTCGCGGGAACGGGCGCCTGTGCCGAGCCATATTTCGCACCTCGCCGGCGTTGCTGGCACAGGGGCAGGCACGCGGTACGCCAATGGTTTTAAAAGGCAGTTGGCACGATGGTTTCCTACTTAGCCTAAAATGCTAGTAGGGCGCTGTATAGTGGGGAAATGGCGAAAGAACGGAGTGAAACGGTCAAAATCCGGCGAAGAAAAAGCCTCCGTTCTCAGTGACTTGTAAATCGATTTCGGACGAGTTTCCCGTACGCATCTTGCCAATCACCGCTACCGAAGATACGGCTGCATATGTGTACCCATATATGCATGCAGCATCACCGCCGCTTCATACCAATCCCTTTGCTTCATAATTTGCTCAGCAAATGAATGAATACGAGCGTCAGAAACGGTCGTCCGTTTGTGGGCGGGCGGGCAAGGAAGGCGTTTGGGACGTAAAGTTGTTGCTCAATAGGGCGTTATAGAGGTACCCTCCTTGGAAAAGGCTTCACGCAGCGCCTGTCCGGGTCACGGAATTCTGTTGAGCCAGTTGTACAAATCCTACACCTGTATAGCGATTTATCGTGCCAACTGCCTTTAAGGGCTTTCTGGTGATGCGGTTGCCCCACTACTGGCTATCTCGATCCGAATGCAGAGAATTACGGTAGCTGAGCCCCGATACCAATCACGGGACGTGGCTATAAAGGCAAGTGGCATAAATAGACAAGGCGTACACGGTCGATACGCCTGGCACGAAATAATATACCTTTTGACATGCGTGGTGTGGCGCCTTTCACGACCAAAGGCCGTGTTATAGCGCCTAACCAAGGTACAAAATGCCCACCGGGACGCCTATCGCAATCACCCGCCCACAAGCGGCCGCAGATTACGGCGCTGGTATCCTGGTATTCTTTATGAAATACAATTTATAACAATGGATACATGGATATATGAATACATAGGTGCAGCCGTATCTACCAAAGCGGTTACTGGCACGATGCCAACGAGAAACTCGTACAAAGATTTTCGTCCAATGCCGTGCAGAACAAAGCCTTTTTCGCAGGTTTTTGGCGGGTTAATTCCGCTTTTGCGTCCTTTTTCCCCGCTATATTCTACTCCTGCTACACCATTAATCGCCCATTTTGTACAACAAGGAGGGTCGTGAGAAAAGACCAATGCTCAAAGTGACTCCGCCCATACGACGAGCACAGAATATGCTTTCAAAACGCTCTTTTCTTATTCGCCAGACATCCACCCTCCAAATACTTCCAGATGGAGTAGCGCCCACGAATGTGAGAGGAGAGCTACATGGTAGAAATGTCATGTCCTACACGACTGAGGCGTCAAAACGACGGAATGTAAACCCCACCACTGGAAGATTAACACCGTAACCTAAAAAAGTCGTCAAATAAATTGTAAACTGTCTTAGGTGCAGAACATCGAATATCACGTCGAACAATGTTCACCGTTTCAAAGCTTACAGAATTGCAGCGTTACCCTATCTACCAAATGCTCTTCCTGTCACGTCCATATTACCTGTGGCCAAAAACACACTGTATCTCTTATTATGGGGTCCTGCATTGAATGCATCGTTATGGTGGTGTAAACGAACGTTAACTAGTATGAACGTGTTTGAGCGCGTAAATTGCCCAGTACGGCTTCCGGTCACTTGCCCACTTTTTCGGGAGCATTCCCTCACGTGCTTTTACCATCCTTATTCACTATTCTATTTCATCTGAATGGATGGATTCAGGGGTATGGATTCTGATTCTGACGAGGATCGACTTTACATCGTAGAAGAAGAAAATGACAGAAGCCGAACCGACGCTGAGGTTGAATCTTTTCCTGCTTTTGATTTTCTTTTGTTCCACAACTTTTCCTTTTTGATCTTGCATTTATCGTGATTCCATTTCCAGACAGAACGTGAGAAGTCGATTGAGAAAAATGTTACGGATGAATGCAAACCGCCTGCTCTGACAGTTCTCTCTAAGCAGGTAGGCAGTACGACTTACCAGGGATTCTAAGTTTCTTATCAAGAAGATCTTCCTGTATTAAACTGCGTTTATACCTTACAACTTGGTCGCCGTAATCGACGTTTTCGGTTAAGGCAGAGGATTAGATACGTATCGATCCGACGTCGATTACCTTGGATCGATACGCATCTCATCCACGCAGCATAGTCGTCGCCAGGGTACAGCAATGTTGTGTGAAACACACAGGGGTCGTACTTTCCCACTGGGAAGGGGGGGGGTCATATTTGCTCGTTGTTGGAAGAGGGGGGGAGTATGTAGCTCTGAGCCGCGTTGGGGAAAAATTTTTTCCCGGTTGTTGACTTTTCTGATTTTTCCTGTTTTACGTGTAATATATCCCCCACCGCTCAGCACCAAAATTTTTGGGTAAAAAGCACGAAAACTTTGAAAATTTCGGTAGACTCCGGAAAAAGTGGTAAGAAGTTGGGGATAAGTAAGAAGTTGGGGAGTTGGGAAATGTTCCTGTTTCACACTTGCAATATACCCCGTCCCCCCGCTGAACGGGGAATTTTTCGATGAAAGCTGGAAAATGTGGGAATTTGTTAGGTAGGTGATAGGGAAGGGAGAGGGATCATACTGACACCCTCCGTCGAGGGGGGATGTCGTATTGACACCGCCATTTCACACATCACGATGGTGCTCCCTGGTTGTCGCTGCCTTTGATAAGCTGAAGTTGCGACTTTCAGGAAAAAGAACCTAAAGTCACACTCATCGAGGACGAACCGTCGTCAGGCCGTCGGCAGCAAAGGTCTCGCTTGGTGAGTGGCATGTACAGAGCTATTGATCTAACTTTTACGACTTACAACTTTGCGGCTCAACGCCGTTCCGCATCTTCTACCAGCAACCGCACGACTCCAGCCTTCGTGCCCACCGTCTTTGAGTGTGTCCCATTTACCCCCCCCCCCCTACACACATACAGACACACACCCTTCATTAAAGTTCATTAAATAAAGATTTTGGTGAACTGGTCATTGTTGTTAACAAGCAGTCGGAGTTACTACATAAAATCAATTACCTACATTGTAAATGTATACTTGCTGCATGAATTTTGGGCTTTTTTCATGAGCGCATTTTTCCCATCGACCAGCCGTCCTTAGTAAATATTGTTTGACAGCAGTCTGGTGAAATCCTTGCTTCATGCTATCAATCTCTGATTCTTTTCTGTTTGAATTTTAGCCGGCTTCCCTCAAGGAACGTATTGTTCGTTCGAGTGCCAGGACGAGTGCGTTATCCTCTGAGGTCATAGTGTTGCAAGCGAAACAACAACAGCGTCGGTTACCAAAAGCCGTCCGTTTCTCAAAGAAGGTAGGTGGAATCGGGCGCTCATAACCTCAATAATAATAGGGACTATCGCTCAGGCCTTAAAGTAGATAGTTCTTCGGGATCGATGATTTGTCCAGATACGGTTAATCCCAGTTTTGCACGAGAATTCTTTCACATGCCCCCCCCCCTCTGCAATTATTAACACCGGAGATTATTTCATCAAGATTCTTACCTGTCTCTCGCAGAACTTCTTTACTGTGCTAACTCCTGTTTATTGCACACTGTGAACGGATCGTATTCAACAAGAAACGTTCAGGACACTCCAGTTGTAGTAAAGCTTGAACAAACTGAACCGACGAAAATTGTTGCAAATGAACTGCTGGAACCCCTTCGCAGTGAAAACGATATTTGCCCTGTCAAACAAGAAAGTGATAAGGTATGTTGTGAATTTGTTGTCAACAGGAACAATTGAAGTGCATTCATACTTTGCGACAGCGTTTTGCGTGCGCTAGATCGATACCTATACTTTTCTAGTTGCTCAAAGCTCTCAAAATGCTGGCGTACCTTCCAAACGCTGGCGCAAAGTATTACCGTACTCTTGCGTAACCATAATTAGCCGACGCCTAGGAGTTGCTGAATCTAATAGTTACATTGAAATAACTATTTTTAGTCCTACTCCCACCCTCCTTCCGAGAAGCCGCCTGTCCTGGAACTTCCTGCTGCCGCAAACCCTATATGCGGAAGAAAGCGGGTCAGTATCGTTTTTATACATTTTTTGCAGTTTTATTGATCATGTCGCGACGGAAATCGCTCATTCAATCAGCCCTAATAGCTTGGGCCATATTGAAGAACTGAAAATTAGGTAAACTGGGAGAAAGTGAAAGCGGCAAAACACAGATTGATTTTGCTATATCTTCGCTTGAGCGTAGTCAGCGACAGTCACTCCTTTTGCTGATTCTCCAAAGCCGTAGGTTGTGCAGTACCCGATTATGGGCGCTGTTTGTCGACGGGCGGGGGGGGGGAGGGAAGCATTTTGTACTATCATTGCTTCATTGCTTCCCTAGTTCCGGTTTACAAATCTCACTCTGGTAAAACTTGTGAACTCTTGTGAAGCTGAAGCAAGATCGTCTAGCCACTATCCTAAAACGTGTCAACTCGAGAAAACCTAGATGGGTCGACACATCTATGGAAAGCAAAATGCCCCCTCCCCCCCCCTCCTCGTCGACAAACTGCGGCTCGATAGTGTATAGTATCCAGTCGAACACAGCCGCATTAGTTCTCGAAATTATGGACACAGAGCGTGCGAGTTCGATTTCGTTACATTGTAGATCCGGAAAAGTTCTTACTTGAATGTATTGTTAAAAAATCATTCGAAGGGAAATGAACCTTTTTGTGAGGACGTTTCTAGACAATTGAAGCTCGCCTTTAACTATCACCGATTCAAGGCCTTCACTCACACACGATCTCTTCCTGGGCAACGTACTGTTCAACTGATTGATCCAGCACAAACAGGTCCACGTCTGAAAAGAAAGGTACGTCTACAAATATAACAAGTGCTCAGCTCATTCTTTTTTATATCTCAAGCAAGCTGTGGATATAGTGTAGTTTGTGGTGCGGACGGTTGGGCGTGTCAGGCGGGATGAGTTTGGCGCGGTGCCAAACCCGTTCTCCACCAGTTGTTAAAGCGAGCAAATATGAGTGTATCATATCGTTCGTATTCTTTGTCCACTTTTTGTCGCATGCGCGCTTCAACAAGAAGGCAGAGAACGGCTTTGACGGGGTGACACACTCATACTGCCTGACACGCCCAACCGTCCGCAGCGAACTAGAGTGTAGATGTTGCAAGCATGTCGCGTTACTCAGTTCATAGCCGTGTGAGCTAACAAAGCAGTGGGATAACGTTCGTTTCAACATTACTAATCCAATATCATGAACAGTTCATTACCGTCTAGATGCGCGAGTAGGAACATGGCCATTGAGGGGAATCATAAGCTTGAGATCGCGCCTGACGTGTGTGTTTCGACAGATCGGCGAGGACTACGAAAAGGCGCTTCAAGTGGAAGGCGGTTAATTGTCGCTTCCATACTGGCTTTGCAGCTCATCTTCTGAGCCGCAAAACTCGTCCATATCGCTCAGCATCTCGATCTGCGTAATTGATCGAGCTTCTCACGTCGATTAGAAAGACATATGAGGGCGACGGAAGTCAGGAATTAGTTCAGAAGTGGATACAAACACTCTACCAACCTCTAACCCCTATGCAGTTTGGCGTTTTTGCTCTCATCCTATCAAATGCAAGTCGATCACTAATGTTAACCAAGATGTTGAGCAAACTGGACGAGCTGTCCGGCTATTGAATGTAAATGCTTTGAAATGAGTCGTGCTAGGCTGTGAGCTGTACCATGCCAGGGCCACAGTGGAATGAACACTTGGGAGGCGTTCATACTTCGCGACGGCAGCGCTTCGGTGATGCGCTCGACGCGATCGATGCAGTTAAAAGCATGCGCATCGATCGCGTCGAACGCGCGACCGAAGCGCTGCCGTCGCGAAGTCTGAACGCTGCCTTAGAGCTTGCTTGTGTGCATTCGAGTTCATCGCATCTTAAATATGGTCCATTTACGTCTTCCTAGTTCACTTGTTCGCTAAGGATGCTGGGGGTGTGTGCACTTTTGGCGCGACGCCAGCCAGTTCTAGACCAATGGCTGTAGCTTGCCCGCTGCAACAGCTGGTGGAAAACTGGCTGGCGCCGCACCAGACGCACTCCCACACATCATCGTCTGCTGTGAACAACACTGCAGATGACGTGTGGTCTTCCTTGAACCAAAATCGGGGCAATACTTGCAGGTCTTCAGGAAAAGAAAGCCTCGCTCATCAGATGCTGATGGTAATGCAAGCGAAAAGAAGCGTGAGTGTTCCTACCTACACTCTTGTCGGCTGCGGACGTTACAGAAGGGCTGGGTTTGGGGCAGCGCCAGCCTGTTCTGCACCAATTCTGGCAACTGGTGGAAAGCAGGCTAGCTGCGTGCCAGACCAACTCCTACCCCCTGGAGTCCCCCACCGTTTGCAGCGAACAAGACAGTGTTTCCTTCTGAATCAAACAGTGAAATGTAGTTGTTGCAGCAGTTGCTACAGTAACGAAACCACGCGTAACGATTAAACGAGTGATCAAACAGGAACCAGGCGAAGACAAGTTCGTTTTGCTCGCATATGGACCTATGAACTTTTCCTTAATTTTGCTGTTTTGCTATTGAAATTGCTTTCAAAATCAAGCGTAGATTTACTCGATTATTTCTCATTTCTCAGGAAACATGACCGCGTTCCAAGTCAGCCTCGTGACTCTAGCGTGAGTATTTCGTCTGTTGTTGTAGTAGTGAGAGGATTTGAAGGAAGTGTTCCCTTTTTAAAGGTGAGTAGCTCTGAGGTGTGCTTCTTGGAAGAAATAATGTCTGGTATGGATTGGAAGGAAAAGCCTGCAAGGAAGATCGCAAGAAGTCGTTTCCCTAGACAAGACAAGTAAGTGCATTGGTTAGTCACTGGAGTGCTGTCAGGCTGTCAGGGTACAGCATCGTTGTGTGAAATCCATAGGAGGGGGGGTCGTTTTTCGGCTGGGGAGGGGGGGGTCGTATGTTTTTGTTGCTGAGAGAGGGGAGGGGTCGTGTCTGGCTTTGACAAGAATTTGTGGCCCTAAAAATTAAAAATTTTCCCGGTTATTGACACGATTTTTCCCGCTTCATGTGTACTATATATCCCCTCTCCCTCTGCTCAAAATTTCTGGGGAAAAGTAGGAAAATTCCCGGGAAATTTCGGAAAAAGTGGTAGGGAAGTCGGGGATGAGGAATTTCTCCGTTCCACACTGGCTATTTACCCCCACCCCCTCCCTCGACGGGAAATTTTTGTTTGAAAAAACTGGAGATTGTGTGGTAGGTGCTGGGGAAGGTGGGGGTTGTACCGAGACCTCTGTTAGCTATAGGAGGGGGGGGAGGTAAAACCAAGATCTTCCCTCGAGGTTGGGAGGGGGGTCACACTGACACCATCACTTCACACATCACGATGCTGTACCCTGAATGCTGTGTCGAAAGCAGCGGGTGCGATTGCTGGGGACGGGCGGTTGTCGCCAACGTCATTGGTGGAAGGGATGAGTGGATGTGGCCGAACCCCTCTCGCAGC